AGAGGAAGAGACAGTGAGAGAGGAAGAGAGAGAGGGGAGGGAGAGGGGAGGAGAGGGAGAGAGGAGAGATAGAAGATTGGAGAAGAGAGAGAGAGAGAGAGAGAGAGAGAGAGATGAGAGAGCAGAGAAATGATGGTATGCCCGCAGAGCCAGGCGAGAGGGGGGGGGGGACGGAGGTGCGGTAGGGGTGTTGCACACCTGGCGCGGTACGTGACGCGCGCCCTGTTGGAGAGCAGGGAGGGAGGGGGTGCGGAAGGGTGGTGGAGGGGAGGGGGAGGAAGAGTGTGGGAGCGGCGCTATTAGGGTTGATCTTCCCCCCCCCCTCTCCTCTCTCTCCTCTCCCTCCCCCCCTTTCGCTCTCTGATCCTAGTCCGTGCCACCGCCCTCCTTCTCGCTTTCTCTCATTCTCCCCGTATTCCTCTTCTTCTATCCTTGACCTCTCTTCTTCTTTCTTCTTTTTCTTGCCTCTTTCTTCTTCCTCTTCTCTCCTCTTTTTCTTCTTCTTTTCTTCTTCTTCTTCTTCTTCTTCTTCTTCTTCTTCTCTTCTTCTCTTTCTCGCTTTCCCCCGCCCAAGTCTTTACAACAATGGCTCAGTTAGTCTCAGACAGAAGACAGACGACAGCAGTCAGTCAGGTTGTCTGTCTCTCTGCTCTTTCTCTGTCCAGTCATTCTTTCGTATCCTTATAAAAATAGGACCCACCTCGCCCACCTTCACAGAGTTTTAGAGTACGTCCCATTTCCACACTGCCCATCTTCAACCAGTACCCCATTCTGCCAATCTTAGCACCCGGCATCAACCCCACTGCCACTCACCCACTACCCCACTCTCTGCCACCTTTAGCCAGTACGCGGCATCAAACCCAGCTGCCCACCTTCAGCACCACTGCCGCACTTCTCCACCTCTCGCAGTTTACAGGCGCCCGGACTGCAGGGAACATGCCGCCATGCGATAAACTCACCCAGGTCGGTACCTTCCTATTGCTACATCGTCACTTCTCTCTCTCTCTCCTCTCTCTCTCTCTATCGGCTCTATCTCTCTCTCTTGGTCTCTCTCTCTCTCTTGGTCTCTCGTTGGTCTCGCTCTTTCTCTTGATTCTCGTGTCTCTATCTCTCTCTCCTCTCTCTCTCCTCTCTCTCTCTCTCTCTCTCTCTTCTCCTCTCTCTCTCTCTCTCTCTCTAAACCTACTCCTACATCCCATACCCCACTTATCTTATCTTATCATTCCCCCATTTTCTTTCTCCTCTTCCTCTGCTTTTTCTCCCTGTTTCCCTTCGTACCCTATCTACCGCCCCTTCCCCCTCCCACCCCCCCCCCTTTAACCGAGCGCCGCCCACAAGCATTTCTCGAGCGTGCGCTGCGACGGCGGCCCACATGGGGTGACGTGAAGCGGACTGTGGCGGCGCACGGTCGTTACGTGCTGCCTGTCTTCTGCTGTCTGTCTGTCTGCTGTCTAGTCATGCTGTGTATCTGTCTGTTGTGTCTATCATATTGTCTATCTGTTTGTTGTCTATCTATCTTCTGTCTGTCTACTCTACTGTCTATCTTATATCTATTTATCTATCTCTATCATATCTATCCATTTATCTTATCTAATCTTTATTCTATCTAGACATGTCTATCTGTCGTATCGTATCTATATGTTCGTCTGCCTGTCTGTCGACTCACACTGTCAAACTACCCGTCCCTCCCCACACTCGTCTCTCTCTCTCTTCTCTCTCTCTCTCTCTCTCTCTCTCTCTGCTCTTCTCTCTCTCTCTCTCTCTCTCACTTACCATCCCACTCCTCCTTTCTCTCCTTCCCTCCACTCTCTCACTCTCCTTCGACGCTCATTTACTGTCCATCTCCATCCTCTTCTTCCTCTTCCTCTCTGTTCTCTTCTCACTCCTCTCTTCCCATCACTCTCACTCCCCTTCACGCTCATTACTCTGCCCTCTCCATCCCTTCTCTCCTCTCTCTCTGTCTCTCCCTCCTCTTTTCCTCACTCTAACTCTCCTTCACGCTCGTGTGTTACTCTCCCTCGCCATCCCCTCTCGTTACGTCTCTCACTCACTCCCTCTCCACCCTACTCTATCCTCTTTCCCTCTGCTAGCTCGACATATTTCTTATTCTCCTCTCCATCCTCTCTTCCTCTCTCACCGAGTCCCTCTCCATCCCTCTCTTACCTCTTCCTCTCTCTCACTCTATTTCTTATTCTCCCTCATTCCATCCCTCTGCTTCCTCTCTCACCACTCCCT